TATTTGAAATAAGCGTATTCTAAGAAGAGAGTTAACACTTTGTTTGCTTTATTTTGCAGTCAAATTTAACAGTATGTACTACAGTACCATTGTTTATTTTATTATCTGTATCACCATGCCAACTGAGTTATATAGTTTTATTTATTAAACTTTTGTTAAGTGTTAATATTTGAATGACTGCATAGACAAAAGGTCATCCAGGGAACTTACCTCTTGTGTTTGTGACCAAAATTCACTCAAATTAAAATACAAATTGGATATTATTAGAACACAAAATAAAATTTATTCCCCATCTCACATATATAGAGTAGGCCACCGGTGGAATACATGCCCTTTAGGTCAAAAAATCTGACATCGAGTCAAGCGGCATGGCTTTAATAACAAGCTTGTGCATGACAAAAAGTAAGGTTGACTGTCCAACCATATGGGTTTTCTCCAGGTCATTTGGTTTTCTCCCACAAAGACCCCAACATACAAGCAAATTATTGAAATAAAACTTTACCATGTTACTCCCAAAATGAAAGAGTTTGTGTTGAGTGGATGTTAAATTCTATTTCTCTTTCGAAATCTTAGAGACAAATAAGGGTCAAAAAGTAACATTAATCATTGTACCGGTAATTAAAAGAGCCATCCTAGATATACTTTTAAAGTTTTAATGAATAAAACTGGTTAAAGATGCATTATGTAAGATTTAGATACAGAGCTGGCTGTTCTTGTAATAATAGTTCAAAAATAGATACTGGTAATGCAAATTACTTTATTATGAGCCGAGTTATCACTGTTTAAAGTTTTGACAAGATGTGTCACAGATTGTTTATTAACATAACAAAATTACTCCATATTCGAGACTTGGCCTTGATTTGCCATTTTTAAATTAAATCATTAAATGGTGACAGTCATGTGAATAAATGTCTAAATAATAGTTTATATAATATAAAGAACTGTAGATTTAGCTATTACATAATGCATCTTTAATTTAGTGTGAAAGATCTGCCACGACATTTATTCCAAAGTCAAGTATAATTATCTGAAACTCTTTGATAGTAATTTAAAGAAATACAAACTACAGTGCTAGTAGTGTCTGAATAACCATGTCACTAATCTTGCCACAGCATGAATGTCACATTTATCACCACACTCACTCCACAAAAACAATAGAGTAGTTAAAAATTCTTCATGTGAGTTAATAACTCAATATTTAGACAAAAAGTAAATAAACCTTTTCTTTACATTTTTGTGTTTGTTTCTCATACTTATTTCCACTTGCATCATTATTTACATTATGACTACTCCTTTAATGAATATTAGATTTTTAAAAATTGTCGTCAATTTAAATGATTTCCTGATTTGCAATTATTATAACTAGTACCGGGTATTCAAAATTTATACTAAATATCACACAACTTGACGGATAGTTTATATAGATTAGTTTTGTAATATAAAAATGGTTGAAATTCTTCAAATTTCATCCACAATGAATGATATTGTTTCATATATTAGACTGATCACTGATGTCACACAAATCAATAACAATGCTATCAAACAAATGGTTGTATTACAGTATGTTTTATGCATGCCACGAGGTGTAGTAAATCTTTTGTTACTTTTGACTTAGTTATAAGTTATAAGACTACAAAAGTAAGTTGGTTATGATAAACTGTAACTGAACATTGAAATCTTTCAGTTTGCTTTCATTTAGAAATATCTCATCCGGATAAAAATAAACAACCCCATGGAATTGAAATGAAGTTTAACGCCCTACTCTTCTGCATCGACTGGTCTAATGAAGATGGGCATACGCCATGCAGTGTGCTACAGCTTACTATTATTTTGAATTCCAACTGTCAAGGGTTCTTTTACGTGCATGGTGAACGCCAATGTGTACACAGGACCTTGGTGTTGTGTTTCCTCCGAATGACTATACGCTGTCCCTTGCCAGGTGCTCCTCCCTGACGAGTGTGAACCACCCCAGAAAATCACGGAAAACTTTCTCGACAAACACCAGAATCAAACACAGGATTTCTGAGTTAGCGAGCCAACGTCTTATTCAATGAACACATGGTGTAGGCCTAGATCTGTACTGTAAAAGTGAACCAAAAGTTGATACCATGCAAACACCCTGTGACTACGAAGTGCCAAGTTGAGTTTCAAGTTATTAAAAGCTGGCATGTTCAAATTCAAGACTGTAAATGTGTAACTTCCAGATACATGTCTGGTAAAACTCGGATGATTAGGCCATTAACTGTACATATTTATAATATTAATGAATTAAGTTAATTTTACCAAAACTATTTTAGACTAACTTTTGAAATATTTTTGATGGAATTACTACTATTTTAGTTCATTCATAGCTGTAACATTCAACATCCTACTACTACTATCAAGAGTCACGTTAGATTTTGTGCTTGGCTAAAATTGGATACATGACAACAAGCAATGGCTAATACAATTTACTATTTCTGCCTTGAGTCAGAGTGTGAAGTCGTTAAATTTAGAATCAATACAGTGTATGAATAAGCCAGTGCTAACATTCCCATTAGCAGACAAAAATCACTGATTTTCCCCAGGCAATGTTTATATTTATTATTTAGGGTTGAAAGTTGAAAAGTAAAAATTATCCAAATGTGTAAAATAATGTATTTTTAGAAAAGAAAAAGGAAAAACCTGATTTCAAAAACAATATATCTGAAAACTATTCATATCAAAAAACTGACGTAACTTAATTCAGAACAGAACCGTATATATTCTTATACCTTGCACTACAACTGGGCTTCTACATGACCGTTCACAGTTGTGTTAATTTAGTCAGAGCTAATCTTGGCATTAAATTATTTTCTGGGAGGGACCCTGAGGAATGGAGGACAAACATATTACCAGGGGGACTGATAGACTTCACATTTTATTGTATTAAGAGATTTTAATATGTAATACTATTTTGACTTGATAATATGTCATGGCACATTGCATCTGATCTTGCATGCTGTCTTTGCAAGTATCTATCAAAACTAATTTATGTTATCTCCTAAAAGAAACACCTTTACATTAATTTAAAAGAAATTGAAAATCAATCAAATGAATTTGATTTTAACATCACACTTAACTGCACCAACCGGGCTAATAAAACCAGGCATGTGTCAATCATACAGAATACTAAGAGGGAGATTTTAACTGGACTGCAGAGTTCCCATCTACTCTTCATTAGAACTTTTTTGGTGGGCCCCAGGGGTGGTTCAGCTCTGAATGTAGGTCTCATTACACTCACCCTGTACGTTCAGGGACTCTTCTATTGAATCCTTGTCGAAACTAAAATCGGCCCCAGTCAATTTTACTGGGCAACTTTTTACTGCTAAACGGTCGTGTGTCAGTCCCTGTGAGCGCCCGAACATCAATATTGAGAAAATAAGACCTTGCTTACCTAGCTAGAACCAGTATGAGCGACACAACACGCTGTTAAAAGATACGTCCCACTATTCTTACGGCCTTCACTGACATTGAAATGGTAACGCACAAATTTATGAACTCGGCCATATAAGATGAAATGAAATTTAGGTAAGCCTGGGAGAAAAAAATTGAAATTGAAATCTTTGTAAAGTTGAATTTAAATTATTGTAATTAGGCTAGGCAAAGCAATAAATGACTGAAGATTCTCAACTTTACAAAGATTTCCATTTTTTCTCCCGGGCTTACCTAAATTTCATTTCATCTTATAAGGCCGAGTTCATAAATTTGTGCGTTACCATTTCAATGATGTCAGTGAAGGCCGTAAGAAGAGTGGGACGTGTCGCTCATACTGGTTCTAGCGAAGTAAGCAAGGTCTTATTTTCTCACTAAGATGTTCAGTTACATTGTTCAGGCACTCACAGGGACTGACACGCGACCGTTTAGCAGTAAAAAGTTGCCCAGTAAAATTGACTGGAGTCGATTTTAATTTCGACAAGGATTCAATAGAAGAGTCCCTGAACATACAGGGTGAGTGTAATGAGTGGGACGTATTTTTTAACAGCGTGTTGTGTCGCTCATACTGGTTCTAGCGAGTTAAGCAAGGTCTTATTTTCTCACTATTGATGTTCGGGCGCTCACTGGGACAGACACGCGACCGTTTAGCAGTAAAAAGTTGCCCAGTAAAATTGACTGGGGACGATTTTAGTTTCGACAAGGATTCAATAGAAGAGTCCCTAAACGTACAGGGTGAGTGTAATGAGACCTATGTTCAGAGCTGAACTACAGGGGCAGCCCTGTTATTAAGGATGACCTGGAATGACTACTTTTTATATTATCAAAATGTCCTTATGTATAATGGCAGTTTTATTTGACAGAACTAGATTACACTAGCGACTACGTGTGCCCAGGGCCAACTGGGAACATTCAATTGGTCCAATCAGACTCCAACTCATGGCAACTGGTTTAACTTTAAAGCTGGCCTTGACAACATTATTAATAACATGTATTTGGGTTTTTTTTCTAAAAGCACTGAATCACTGGTTTTAGTTGATGTATAAGTAATAGCGTTAGCATACATTACATGCTTTATGTCACTTTCAGATATAAGTCTACATAGTATACATTCACTTGTACCTTGACAGGTAATACAGTAAGTTCACCTGGTATTCAATATCACGACATTTAACAGTCAACAAATAATAAATATTATTTTATCTGATAAATACATGTATCAATTTATCATCAATTTAACAAATCGCTATTTCATCTGTCATTTTCTATAGTAAATAGTTGCTATGTATTGTGTCGGCGAAGATGGCTCCGCCCCTTCCATGCTTCAACCTTATTTGGAGTGCAATCAAAACCTGTCATGGCGGCGACCGGTATTCTAAAACAGGATTTCATGACATTTAAATTCTCCGAGTTTATTCGCGATAATTTGTCCATAGGAATAAATTGTCTTAATAAAATGTCCCTTAAACCTATAATTAGCATGCATGTTATGATGAAATAAAGCCTAACCTACTCGACTTTCAATAACGACCGCCAAATACACTGACCTTTTTCTGCTGGATTTCCCATGCAGGGTCCAGTAAACCCTCTCTGTCCCATTCTTCTTCTTCTTCCATATAGCCATCAAAATACTCGTCGCTCGCCATGTTTCCTGGCTACACTCCTCTGAACCCCCTAGGTGCTGAAATTGTATTAAAGAGTAATTTTGGAGTTCTGAAAGTTAACAAGCAAGGAAAGATCAACACCCTAGCCGGAGATCTTGTCACGTGACCTACTTTCTTACCGGAAATGACTTACTAATGCCTTCGTCAGAGGTTGAAGGTAAAAGGTCATGGGATGTAAATGGAATGTCCATGAAATAATGATACACCACATACTACCCAAAATTTGGCATTTATCATAATTCGAGATAAATTTATTAGCCGATAACATCTTGATTATCAACAAATTCGGGCGTATTGTAATTAGACTGCCTTAGCACCATAGTAAAATATTCCACAGAATATTAACCAAATAATTTTATTTATAAACCATTGACGTATTTTGAGTTGGATTGACCTATTTTGAAGCTTTAAAAGGTTGCCGTATTGAATAAAATTACATATCCGGTAAATTCTTTAAATTATCCGCATACTGTATTTTTGAGGTTCGGCTAAATTTACAAATAATCGATTTGTTTTCATATTTAAGTAAATATCTTATTGATATCTTATTGATATCACTTGATCTAAAATCACTTACGGATACAGTCCCAACAATTTTCAGAATTGACTTTCCTTGCAATAAGATTATAACTTTATAGGCCTAAAAAATAATTTTTAAAAATATGTAACAATACCTACCACCAGACCTACCTTTTTAAAGACATGTATATATAGTTAAGGCTCACGAATCACACTGGCAATGGTTAGGAGAAGAATGCCTGACTTTGCGATCTGGTCCGAAAACTGCCAACATCTTACGTCATGGCATATTCTACGTACTAGAGCTTGTCATGACGTAATGACACCTGCGCGTAAATGATTGATAAGGTAATCTAACTAGCCACCACCCCTTATAAGCAATTGCTTACAGAATACATCTGGGATGAATTTTGTTTTGATGCAGCAATGTATAATATCTTGTGTAACATACAGTATAACGTAAATTGATTGATACTGTGCAAACGGAGAAATAATTATAAATATGATGATATCACTATATCAATTTAAAGAGAAACGACATGTTTCTGAAATTTATGTTCAAATTCGTACACAAACTGTGTGTTTCTTTAGATTTTCCCGGGCCACTAGAGCCCGTCACTTCTTTTCTGGTAATGCCACAGAACTATAAAATTACAACCCATGTACGTTCATTCGGAATTCGTGATATAGAGTAGAATACATAATTGACCAAACATGGACCCCATAACCGTCCCCTTTTGCGCATTTTTCGTCTACTTTGCCACATGGATCATTGAACTGTTTTCGCAAATATTGGAATATAGAAAATACGGCCTTAATTCCAAAGTTTGGCAGGCATTTTCTTGTGCTGCTTTATAATGTCGAGATGGATTAATCTTGACTTGCTATTGTACCTGAGATAGGTATCAAATATTTTAGATTTTCCATGTGGCTGTTTTGTTTTGGATTTGTTTCTTTGTAGTGAAGTTGGTTAATGAGCCTGTAAGGCTGCCTTCCGCTATCCATACCCCATATAAGAAAACTGTGAAATGGTATGTCGTTTATATAACGCCCTACTTTTCTGCACCCTTGGCCAAAAACCCCTAGGTCATAACACCCCCGGACTTCAATTAAAAAGGGACAAACCCCCCTAGTTTTTATTTATTTTTTTTTTATTAATTTATTTCATTTATTTATTATTATTTTTAAAAAAAATATTTGAAAACTAAAATATTATTACTTTAAAAAAAATATGAGGACCAACTAAGACAATTGACCACACAATTAACATAACATAATCTGCTTTTTACTAGGAATAACATATCCTCAATTATTGTAATCATTCAAGTGAAGTATTCACCAGGTCTTGATGGCAGGGTACCTCCAATCCGGATGCGCAGGATAACCCCCTTATTCCCAGCAGAACTCTGGAATGTTCATCTGACAACACTATGCGAGTCATGAAACAGGGCGTTCAGTTCCCTGCTGGGAATATCACACCCCACAATCTGGCGGGCTCTCGAACATCTCCGTCTGGATCACAGCAATGTCAAGACTGCACTCCTGCAACTTATTTCAAACCCTAAAAGGTATTGGGCACAACATCCGATGGAAATAATTTCACCCATTTATAATTGCAAATAAAATATAAAAATAATCGATTTTGTTGTGGACTTCACTTCACAAACCACAAAAACATAATTTTGAAATGATTAATATTATATAATATAAAAAAAGGTGGTTGTGGTGTGTGTGTGTGTGTGGGGGGGGGCAGATGGGGTTCTACCTAAGGGGGTTCTGACCTAGGGGAGTTCTGACCTAGGTCGAACCTAGGTCAAAACCCCTTAGGGGGTTCTGTCCGGAGGGGGGTTTGACCGCATCCCACACGGCATACAGTGTGCTATAATAAGAGGAACAGTTTGCCCGGACAGATCCATTTCCTACTGCACTTCATTAAATTCTTTCCCCCAAGGGATCTTTAATTTTACGTCAACGTGTACATGGGACGGCCTACTCTTATATCTGATTCCAACTGCTAAGGGATCCTTTCACTTGCACCCAAAATTAAATGTGTATACGGGAGCTCGGTTTTCGTCCCATCCGAATGACTATCCGTTGTCCCTTGCCAGGCCCACCGACAAGGGGGAACCACGCCGGAAAATCCTGATGAGCTTTCTCAGCCAACTCGGGGATCAAAGGGGGGCCAACGTCTTATCCAATGAGCCACCGTGACCCCATTTAAATATTGACCACCCCAGGTCCCTGAAGAAAATTAGAGCAAAGTGATATAGTTCATGCTGATATATCCCCGGACACACCGAAACAGTCCTAAAACTGCTGTTTCTTAGACACCCCAAATCTAAGTGCTTAAGGGGCGGCACATTCCTTATAAAATACTTGGTATTGTCCCGACGAATAAATGGATGAAATGGCTCTGCACCAACCCGGAATATAATTAAAACGTTTGTGACGACGAATCTGGCGATGTTTGTCATAGAATATTGTATGTTGCTCATAATATTTAATTTATCGACAAATATATAATTAGATCTACATGTCTGTTCCGTAATCGGTGATATTAATAATTTATTCTTATTTCCTGCAGATATCCTCTGTGTACTTATATAATGTCGTCGGCTTTGAGTGAATCTAAGTAGAATTATACTTCTATAAACAGACTATAAGTAGGCTAGATGCAAATGTATTTGTAACAGCACTTTATCCACTTTCAGTCACTCTTCATTTTCTCAACAAGTTGTATGCGTTTATAAGGATTTATTATATAGTATAGTTTTCCGGATAATTTAAAAATTGTTCATCAAGATCTCATTTTGTTTGGATACTTGAAATCATATGGCACAACAAACATTACAGTCCACGTAATGTGCAGTTTAATTAAAAGTTTGTCGTTAATTAACAGGTCTGAGCAAGTGACTGGCTTGTGTTATAAGATGCAGATGCATGTTTGCAAACATGAATCAATCGAAATTAATCTGAACTTTTAGAATTTATCAATAATTCCATCTTTTGGGGAAATAAAAAACTTTTTGTTGGAATATTTTTAATTTATGATTCAGAAATTTTCAGTGTACACTATACATATAATTGATAAACTAATAAGCCGTTCGTTTGTAAAGTTTTCACTTGTCATAATTAGGTAGGAAATGAAATGAAATGGGGTTTTACTTTGCGTCCTACTTCTCTGCACCGACTGGACTAATGAAGGCGGACATTTTTCCGAGACGACAACGGCGCTACGACCTACTCTTATTTCTAACTGTCAACGGTTATTTTACTTCGGATTTTCGCCCCACCCGAAAGACTATAGACACATATAGCAACTTACATCTAACAACTTTTGCAGTTGTCCTGAGATAACCGTCTCAAGGTGAAACCCATCTCTTCATTCACTTCATAATGGTGACGGAACACGATGTGCAATAACTATTAATAAATTACTGGAATACATCGAGGTAGCCTATTCTGATTTGGTGAGTTCGATCGCGTATCGGAGCGGGGAGCATTGGTGGCTTTGCAGCGAGTAAGGCGCTGACTCGTTAACTACAAGGCGTAGTTTAACTTCTCCTGCAGTGGTGCAGCAGTGTCTATAGTCGTCAAGGTGGTACAAAAACCGCGTGCCACACAACAGAACGGAATTCGAAATTCCAAACCGGAGTTCAGAGTTTCATAAAATCACACAATTCTCATTTTGATTCAGAGTGTCTTGTTCTCAAACTCAACTCATGCAGTTCCAGAAAATTCGCTCCACTAGAGGCGCATAGTTGCCGCTATTTTTCGAGATTTTACTCGGCTGTAACTGAGGCTTTTACCATCAGCTAATTCATTGTTTTGACTGGTGCGGAATTTGATTATGGACTGCATACAATTCGCATTTTGCTCGTTGTCTTTTTGTCAAGTGGATTTTCGTAATTACCGACATAATGTCATACCCATAATTGATTTTTGCTATATATATAGTCTGCAATATTGGACTGATTCATTGCAGGCGGTGACTGGGATTTCAGCACAGAGGAAGCGTCCATATCGACATCAGTTCTTAGCGAATTTCGCCGATTGTTGATCTGGTAAAATGATAGTTTGTTTAATACACGTATTTAAATGGAAATAACATTTATTTTTTCACCTTTCAATACCGTATATCCTAAATGCCGATTAGGCTGAAGCCTTGGCGCCCAGCAAGAGCATGAACACACCAAAAGCAGGGGTCTGTGCAACCTTTTTTTCCTTTTAGTGTCTAATGTCAACTCTTTTTTTGATATGAGACATCCCAACTATATAAAAGTTATGATTCAATTTAGTTAAAATTCGTGAGGGGGTCTTCGGGGGATGTCGAGGTACCCAAAGAAGCTCACAGCTTAGGGGCCCTGCCGTGGGTGAATTCGACACTGTCACTCCCATCTGATAGACAATGCAGGATACTCGCTAAACACAATAAAAAAACCAAAAAAAGCGGAGACATATCAAAATATGATATAAGATCACAGAATTACAGAATAACAAAATTTAAACAGAACACGTTTAAAACTATTTAGCGAAAACGTACAATGGTTCAATGCCCAGTACAGTTATTCTAATATAGAACCTGTTTATATAACACTTTAATGACATTTGATTGGATATGACAAACGGTGGCTAAAGTTGCGTCGGTTCGCTTTTATGAACAACGGGTTGAGGACCGATTTACATTAATCAACTGTGCTATATCATTAATAGACCAATAAACCACAGTAAATACACATCAAACCACATTTAGCAGTATTAACTCATTGTGAATATACAACGATCCATGCTTTATAATACACACTGAAATAACAACCAAGGCCAATATACATTATCGTATTTATGAGGCAATTTCATTATCACCACATCAGATGGCCCAATTTCGTTTTCTTTTGTTTCATTTTCTACTAATGGGCGAGGTGGTGGGGGTTCCTTTCAAAGTTCTAATGAATCAATTTATCTTGGGTCCACAGGAGCACATTTGTCTACAGCTCCAAATTTTGTTATTTTTGTTATGAGTGACATATATATGGCTTAGATTTTCAATTCTTTGGGGGAAATTGCGAAAAATATTAAGTTAACATCAGGAACAGCAAGATCATCCTTGTAATAAATGGTTCTGTCATTTACAAGCCAAATTTGTTCAAATCTGTTGCAAATTAGATAAGTGCTTTTCAATGTATCCGTCTTTGATTCTTCAATGATAACAGACGAAGATAACAAAAAAACAGTAACAAATTGTATATGGTGATGACTTACTTGACTCATCATTTTTTATATAAAATATTCAACAGAAACAACAATTTATTTCATTGCAAGGTCTACTATATGCCAGGGACATGAAAAGATTACAAATTTACATGCTATTTTAAAAGAGCAATAGTTGCATTTTCAGTTGAGGCAAGCAGAAAAGGGATAATGGATTCTTAATAAATCTTTACTGGCTGAATTTGATGGGTTATATCATAATATGTAATAAATAAATTCAATTTGATTGTAATTCACTTTTGATGTCAATATGGTTACAAATACATGTAATTCTCAGCATTAGCTTAATTCCAAGCATGATTTCTGTCATTTTAAATCCGCAGTGTATTATATAGTTCCTTGAATTCCAATTTATAACACATACTCTCAACAGTTAAAGATGCATTATGCAAGATTTACATAAAGAGCTGCTTGTTCTTGTTATAATAGTTCAAAAATAGATAATGAAAAGTTAACATATTGTAAATATCATTTAAATGACTTTAATCTGAGCACAGTTATGACTGTTTGAAGTTTTGAAAAGCTGTACCGTAGATTGTTGTTTATTATCGTAGTAACAGTACTTAACAATCAAGATTATCCAATTTATTGTTAAATTAAATCTTGCAGGTTTTCTAATCCATTTAAATCTCAGCCATTATAGGCTTTTCATGTGAATAAATAATAGTTTATAAAATTTGAAGCCAAAATAAAGGCTTAGCTCTTACATAATGCATATTTAACAAACAGAAATACTTGCAGGTTCTGATTATATTTTGAACTAAGGAGGCAGTTAATGATCATTATTTAATATGAAATGTCAAATTAAACTAATACCATGGCAAAAAATGACACTGCCATATAAGTTTTAAGAAATGATAAAATTTGTGATTGTAAAATTTTTAATGAAATATGTTTTCATTCCCATTCTATTAAAAGAATAAATATACAGCTGAAAAAATGTTATAAATGGAAGCACTGGTCACAGCACTTAAATATCTTCATTATTTCTATAAATTAATGTAAAGATTTTCAATATCTAATTTTACTTCAACTCAGTGCAATGGATGAGTTCAAATCTTCAATCTTGAATTAAAACTGAGTTTAATTCAACAGGAAGACAACAGCTATTTTTGGTCACAAACAATAGATTTCATAATATATTAATATGCTAGTTTTTAACCATGTACATGATAAAATTATCACAAAAAAAGAAAAGAAGAAATGTCTTAATATAAATTTATAATAATCACCCTAATGTGAGCAGGGATTTTACAAATATATACATACTCTAGGGTCATAGGGGTAGTTCAAACACCACCATTTTTGATTGTGTGTGTAACTAGACAGTCATTCATTTTGATTTGACTGCCTTGAAATATATTGCACTCCCAGCAAAGACAAACATTACGTCAAAAAGTCAACATATCAGACAAATCTCGAGCATATGATCCTTGTTAGGTTACCAACCAAAACACTTAACAAAAAATGTCCATATAATAAGCAGATCGTGTTCACATGAAGAATCCAGATCTCATGATGGCAGAAGAGTCCACAAAAGCTCATCAAACACTATACAATCAAATAAATTATAGCAGTTCCTTTCTAATCTATATATGATATATGTAGCAGTTCCTTGATTCACATTTCTCTGTAAATATGTACATTTAATATCAGCATGGTGTGATTCATTTTATATACAGGACTCTTATGAAGAGAGCACTAGTCTTTTCTATAGTATATAGGTTTTTTATTATCACAGGGTTTTGTACATAGTTTTCAACATTGTGAAATTTGATGTCTATTATTCCTATACTTATTATTGAAATGGAACAAGCATGAAAATAAAATACTATAAGAGTGTACCCTGATTCAGTTTTGGGACTAATAATGTTAATTTCTCTAGCCGATTGCACAAGAGGTTAGTTTTGATCTCTATATAGTCTGGCCATATACTGTTCTCTATGTCTGTGTTGAAGATAGAGCCTTAGAATGCGATAAATATATTCCTTGGAGAGCACTAGTCATCCATACCCACACTTTTGGCACACAAGAAACACGCCCAGTGTCCTACAACTACAGTATTTTTTAAATAGTTTTCGTCTAAAGCGACAGTATTTTTTCAAAACACGATCCACCGCGGAATAAGCGTCCATTGATGATATGGTGGATCTCAGATCTTTAGGTTTATAGCACTCTTTCTTGCCATCTATACAAACACGAGCTTGACTTTTAGCAAAATCTGATTTTATCATGTTTTCATCGGGTACTGATGCACGACATGTGAAACTAAATCTCTGTTCTATATAACCACCTCGAGTTCTGTTAGTTTGAATCCAAGGTGTCCATTTCGTTTTCTTTGCATATTCTGAAAAGTAAATTTTATCACATTGTTAAATCTTTAATAAAATAATTTGCTATAAAACTTTATACTTTTCTGGTCATATGGTTAGATATATCATGTGAATTAATTGAAATCAATTTTGAAAAGATGAGATTAAAATGACCGGCAATAGAGAAGCCACAAGGTTATCATGTACATTAAGTTGAATTGAAGAGGGAAAGATCTGTATTCCAACAAAATCATATTCCTGGTCGGACATCTGGAATATATGGGCAAAATTTCATCCCTGGTAGAAATCATAATGAATATACACCACTTGAACAATTCAATGGTGGAGATATTTCATTTCATTTCATTTATTATAAATGTCCTGCTGTTTTGCTCCATCTGGGCTGATGAAGATGGGCATACGCCATGCAGTGTGCTATGAGGGAAATTTTGCCTGCACTATAGCCTACTCTTATATCGAATTCCAACTGCCAAGGGATCTTTTATGTGCACGCCAATGTGTACACGGGACCTCAGTTTTTTGTCCCATGCAAACGACTAGACAGAAGTCCTTGTCTGGCCCTCCGTCCTGCACCAATGACAAGGGGAAACCACGTCGGAAAATCCTGATGAACTTTCTTGGCCAATGCAGGGATGTAACACGCAACCTCCAGGCTAGCGAGCCAGTTTCTTACACACTTGGCCACCGTGGCTCCCCATCTATAATAATAAATGCAGGAGAACCACACCAAAATCAAAAACCAAAAAGAAACACAGAAGAAAAACATGTGGACAACACACATACACTGGTAGTTATAAATAATAAAGGTAGTATCAATGTATGGTTTGGTGGTCCATGTTTGGAGACTAAAGGGGGATGACTCTTGAAAAAATGAAACCTATTCATGAACCGATTTTTAAAAGACTATTTCTAGCAAATATTGTTCACACTTGTGTACATTAACTTATAATGCTTAATATGTACATTATAATCCTTAATAACAGCGTGCTTCAAATTAACTACATAATTTATCAAGGAGATTAAAACTCGCTTGCGTAGGTCTTTCTTGATTTGTTGATTACTTTGATAATTTTATAATGTCTTGTAAGACAGTTGTGACAAATAAATTCACAGTTGTAAAAATATTCCTAGCACCTGTTGGAAACATTCGTTGCGCATGCCGATTGAACATGAATACCTAAGTTTGTTCACCCTACGGATCTCTCCGAACAGTGTGACGACGACCTGGACATAGAACGACAGATTATCAATGAACACGTGACAGCAAAGACAAGTGTGCAATCAACTGAAGACGATGAATAAGATTAATGAACTTCAGACTTCACCTATGCATGTCCATATAAAAATTAATGTAATAAAATTATGAATGTAGAGAAAGGTTTATCATTTTTAAAGAGAAAACGTTCTGGGGATTTGAAGCTACATTATAATAATACTTCCGGTTTTGAGAAAACTGAGTATTCCGACACTCTGCGTAATCCGAAATATTGTAACGATCCCGTACAATGTCGGGTTTGACAGAGTTCACTGTATTTATTTATCGGCTATTCTTTGTAAACATATACCAACTGAATTCAAATATGAAGATATATTAATACCTTTACAAGTATGTGAATTACACATTCTCCAATCTTTAAGATTACCGATACAAGGGACACCTGCGTAGGAAGGTGGTGGGTTATCACAAGCACGACGTCTAGTCTGTATACCACCATTACATTTAGCTGTACATTGACTCCATCCCGACCACATAGACCATATACCATTTACTGGTGGCACTAAAAGATAAAATGTGTCAATAATATGAGTAATCATTGTCTTGTTTATCAAGTTATTGTGGCAAAGATAATTTTTCCCTACTGAAGGACCAGCTACATTCATAGGACCACAAGATTATAGGGTAACCATCTCTAAAGTCCCTTAATTAAAATAATAAAACTTTCCTACAATTCAAACAAGTGACTAGATAAAATACTATGCTCAGACCTGGGGAAGAAAACTTGTCTGGCAATTATGGTTGTGATATTTCTTAAATTTTTAACCATCTTGAATTACCACAAATTGTCATTTGAAACATAGCGATGGAATGAAATAAATTAGATTGCAGTCATGGAATTGGACCCTACTATCACCATTAAATGATCACACAAAGATTTTCCAAAAACAAAAGGTAAGCAAGCCTGATTGGTATCTGATGTGCACTGGGCAACACTTAAAACATTTACTCTAATTTTGGATAAATTTAAAAACAGAAAACGATTATTAGCCTTGTGCCACATTGCATTAAGGCTTTAAAGGGAATCGGGCACAAACAATATAAAGTCATGTGGATGAAATCTGAAAAATCATGCAACAACATGTGGACTTGCAACATAATGGTAAGTGTTTACCAGGAGTTCATGAAAGGATAAGCATATCCTGACACGTCTGTGAGAAGATTAGAGAAGTACATACCTGGACAAGATGGGACATTTTCACAATACTGTTCTTCTTCATGCTCTCCCATACACAGTCTACCACCATATTTAGGTGTTGGATTTCCACAATGTCTGCTTCTTTGCTTTATAGCAAAACCACAACTCTGTGAACAACTAGACCAGGAGGACCATTCTGTCCACTGACCATGAACTTTAAAATAAACATTATTCACAGATAACATACTTCAAATTCTATGACTAAGTTTTTATACATAGTAAGGACCATGGTTGGATTCCAAGTACGTAAATTTGAGACAAAATTGTCAAGGCTTTAATTTTAAGCAATTTATCTGTTTCATCTACACTTTTCTATTACTTAATTAGAATATAAGCAGTTGATGGAAAAACCAAAGCAGAGGATGTGGCAAATGTCGCTATTCTGAGACTTTGGCAGACAAGGGTTAAACAATAAATGATTCTTACCTGTGCAGTTGCTGACTTCAACACTAGGACCACTACATGGTCTACCACCATAGAAAGGGCTAGGATTATTACATTGTCGAGACCGACACATACATTCCTCACCATCACTAGTTACATGTTGACATTTATCCCAATCAGACCAAGTGGACCAGTTACCATTTACTATAAATAAACACATGTATTACAGATTACAAATCACCACATTTATTATATTTATTATATTCTTCCTAAAAGATAGAGTGTACTGGTACATAGAACATATATAAATATATAACTAAACAAATAAATAAAATTAATCATTTAAAAAATAGAAAAAAACTAAATAAACAGGTTCTGCTTTTTTAAATTTAATTATATTAGTTAAAGAATTATCGCACCTGGATATTTGATATTTGGGCAGGAGCTGATAAATTGTATCCAGTTTTGAGCATGAGGATTGCCTTCTGGTGGTGGACCACACGTCCTTGATAACCTATTCCATCCACAATACGGATCCATCGCATATACACATGCACTGAAATATAACAGAGTCACACATCAACATGTAAACTCATCTCATTATCATACACTCTTCAGACTGATTAACATCCAATTAACAATAACTCATTCTGGAACTAACAAATGGTATTATATCTGTGTTTATGAAACGGTACCTTTAGGGATGGGATGAAACCAGACAGCCTAGGGGAAACCTAAGAGTTAGAAATGCAGTCAAAACGAACAGAGAACTGCTCAGCCACCCAATCAGAGAACATTTGTGTACTGCTAGTACAAAAATAAAAAAGATGTTGGCTATGTCAAATACTCAAACAAGATGATAAAATCTATGCATAATAATTATGAATTAATTGAAATATCAGTCCAAGTGAAAAAAAATGCCAGGCCAGCACTGTAAACCTAAAATTTCTACAAATACTGTCAATTTGTTTCAACATACAATGCTAATTAGAAATTATTTTATTCCCTCTATCAAATGATTCTTGCCGGTAAGAGACAATAATGGTAACATAATTTTTGATTGGAATTACTTACTCTTCATCTGTAAAACGGCTACATCTATTAACAGGTATTTTAATAATTTTCTTATTTGTAGAAATATATAGAGCACCCTGAAAAATAAATAAAAAAACAAATCCAGTATCTGATTATACAGTTATCATTCAATAACAATCAAGAAATAATATTTAATTTGTTATTCTCTTTTAATCTCTGCACAGGTTTTAATTCATGCAAAAAAACTTAATTTCAACTTTGTGTATTGTTTCAATGTGCCTTGAAAAAGAGTTTAATCTTTGTATCTCAATGACAATAGCAAAGAGAAATCAGATTATTCTTGAAATAATCTACACAATTTTATCACAATGTTTGGCTTTCTTCTTACGCAGTATCAATGGTTTTAGATTTGTTGATATTGTATACATTTTTGATAAAATATATTTTACAAAAGTGAAAAACACCAATACCTTATCAGGGGAAAGTTTCATAGCTTTAACAGGTTTTTTCTCTCCATTAGGAACAATTTTAATTTCTTCGATCAGACATGTAATGTTCATATAATCTTCTTTTAAACGCATTTTTTTGAGTATTTTACCATCTTCTGTAGCCAGGAATATAACATCATGTAGTCCTTGTTTACCAATAACATGATCTACTACAATATGTGTCCATCTGGAAAAAAAAAGAACTTATAGTTTAATCAACTAAATATGAGGTGTATTTTTAAAAAAAAAAGGAAAAGGGCAATAAAGATAATGAAAGTTTTATAAACAGTCTACTCAGGTTATTTTGAGACTAACAAAGTAATTTTTCAATGTAATATAAGGGTGTCTATAATTGACTTTATCAATCATGACCTTTTTGCAGGAGAGTTGTGTAAAAGTTATTTCACTTGTATAAGGATTAAATATACAATGGTATGAAAAAGTTACGTTTATCAAAGCACTCAAAGATAACCCCAATAATCTGTTTTACTGTATATTTTAAAACGACTCAATATTCTGAGATGAATCATTTAGACAAGGTAAATAGGCTATTTCTCTGATTTTGTGTATAGGCTACTTAAATCAGACTTCTTTACATTTCCGCTTTGTTTTTTGGGTATTACCACAACACTTATATTATCTATTAAGATTTCATTTTTGAGATAAGGAAGGGTTTAATGTGTAAAATTTGAGACAGTCAACACAATAATCACTAAAGGTTTCAATATTTAATTTTTAGATTTTTCAAAAAAAAAACCCCACCAACCTTTCATTATCATTATGAATTAATGGTTCTTGATCAACTGGTTGTACAGCTAGATTCATGAGTTGATATTGTTGAGCTAAAACTAACGGTTCACCATCCATCTCTGGTGATCTTTTACTATTACTACCATGACTTGGACACTGAAAAATACATGAACCAAACCATTATATACATAAATATATAAAAATCAATGTTTTATCTTTACAATATTTCAATAATTTCATTTATTACCACAATAAATTGTTAATAAAAATTCCAGGTACTCACCCTCTCCATAGGTTTGGAATTATCATGTTTCATCCATGCTGATTTAGCATTTTCTTGATATTTAAAAGAACCTGTAAATGCTGTTTGAAAAGCTGTCATATTATACACACACACAGCAGAACCTGCAATACTGTTACTGCAATAAATAAACAGGTTCAAATGACTGAAAGTATGATGTTAACGTATAAAAATGTGGCCAAGGTTGAAAGATGGAAAACATTTCTTTACATCACCAATTTTGAGGCTCACTAAGCTCCTACACACTTTTCATCGTTAGCTATTGATGACAACAACCCTACACCAGGCAGAGTATGCTTACTCATTCTAGAACAACTGATACCACTTCTGCTTTGAGTAGTTAACTAAAACATTCTTTCTAGTAGGCCTACTTTTGAATTTAATTTGATCAAATATTCAATATATTTATGAACTAGTATATGCCTAGATATTCATTTATGTGTTCTTTGATTGCACACTGTCACATTGATCAGCACTATCACTGAGTGGGATGACATCGCTGCAGGTTAATGAGTTTGCAATATTTATTTTTTTTTCCTTCTGCAACGTAAATTCAAGAACATTTTTTTGTGAAGTACCGGTAATAGAAAATAAATAAAGGTGCTTGAAGTATATCTGGATAAACAATATTTCCTATTTAGAGTACGGTAAATGAGTATATAAAATGATTAAAAAGCACCATTCTTCCCAGACGTGTACAAAATACATGAACTTTCAGGCCAATGAACTTTTATAAAGGTCAGTTATCTTATATAGAGGTATTGCAATTACAATTGGCATACTGTTTGTAATTCTCCCTATGATTAAATATCCACAGCTATAAATCTTAACTTTCAGTAGGCCTAATATTTCAAGAGAAGACCTTCCACAATAAAATAAATCAAACCTGAATTCAAGACCAAATCTTACACCATTATGCCCCAATGGACCACAGATGAATTCATAAATATTGAATGGAAATTTAGAAAGCAAAACTAAGGAATAATAATGTGACATTTATATTTAAAAAATAATGAAAATATCAACCCAACAAATCTGAAACCAGAGTTACCTCCCTTATATAACAGACACCGGCGTCTGCTAGCCTTCATGTGCATGTGCAGTTTTTTGTGCACAAGTGTCATTTGACTGGAGACTTGTGTCATGAAAGGATGTTGTTGGGTTCTTTTTTAACTAAACACAAATATGGTGTCAAAAAAACATGAAAACAGATAGAAGTTATAATCCTTATAAGGTAGGCCTAGAAGTTAGCTTATAATTCAGGTCAGCACCTCTCCACTCCACCCACCAAAAATACATACCAATCCCCACCATTATGGAAAACAAAGTGTTTAGAAGAAAAAAATTCATCATTAAACTTTCCAACATACAGATATTTTCCCTTATTAAACTAAACTTTCCCAAATTCAGATATTTTTCCTTATCAAAACCATCCAACAAATTTTCATTGCAACAATGGTTTGCCACAAATGCAAAGGACACTTCAATAAACAATGCACATATCTTATATCTCTTAAATCTGTAAAAACTAAATTTGTTACAGGACCATTCACAATTTAAAAATATAAACTTACATACCACACCATTTCAAATTTAGAATGCAAATTTTAAGGCCCCATTACTCATAATTACTTAGGATCTACTTAATGGTGTGTGAAATCTGGGGGAAGATTCTACATATGTTCGGTGAGTTGCATCTTAGGGATTCTGGTCATCCAGTCATTTGGTGATCTGTCCCCGTTATAGATACTAGTTACGGCTTTCTAGATTGAAAGGGAGGCCATGTGTGGTCAAAACAAGTCTTCGTTGTATCTCACCATCACAGTGATCGATTGAGTTTCATGTATCATCAACAAAGGGAATAACTTCTTAACCTTTTATTGCTTTCTGATGCACTGAATTCTAAGGTAAGAATTTCCATGAATAAGCTTATTCTACCAGAGATAGTTATTTTACTGAAGACTGTAAAAGGTAGGTGCAGTTGGGGTTCTCTTCAATCAATTACTCTTTAAATAAATAGGGTTATATTGCATTTGTACAGGGGTTTTTTGCTAGAATTAATTTGTAACTTTGGATCAAATGTTTATGACATAAAAAAATTCCAAATATATTTGTTTGATAAAATGTCAGAGATAAACTTTTAATTAGAACTTACGGAGGTGTTGTAAATATGGCATATATTAATTCTTCTTGTTCAGAATAATAAGTACTCTGTAATTCATCATAATAAAATGGAAAATCACCAGGAATAGAACAATTCATTCTGGCTTTAAGGAATGATGTCCAGTTATCTTCCAATAAAAATTTACCGCCATTATCACTCTGAAATAAGTTATAAATGTAAGTTGAGTAGTGAAATTCAACGAGCCCAGAATAACAAAAAATCAGTTTGTGTATTGTACTGGGTCTATAGTAGGTGCAAGAACTTTGCTAAATATGTTGAAATAAATCTAATGTGTTTGTTTTTTGGCTAAGATTAGAGCTCTTTTATTTCATCTTTCCAGCCCATGTTTATTAATGCATGTACATTCACAACAATAATGTAATTTTATACTATATTAGAGCCAATCAAACATACCCACCCCAAATGTAGCGACAAAATTTTTCATACAACAGCAAATTTGATTGTTAAATCGAGGTAAGGGCCATTTTCACATAGGTAAATGTAATAGTATTTGCTCTGTTATAATGACAAACTTCTATAAAAAAACACTGAGAGTCACTAGTAGAGGTTCCGTTTCTAGGCCTATAAGTACCCTACTTAAATAATTTGATACCACTTTCAAATCGCGATTGATTTTCTCTAAAATTATTTTCTTACCTTACAAACTCTTGCTACTCTTGAATAAATTTTCTAGAAAAGAAATAAACCATACATTAGTAACTGTAAAATTGGTGTGTAAAATTTGGTGGTCAACTCTTTTATCATTGTCTTGATGTTATCACATAGCAGTTTTGTATTAATCTTGACATTCAGGTTATGGCCTATTTTGAACCATCTTGTAAAGGCCTTTGACATTTACTTGGTCATATTGGATTGTCTATGTTGTATTCTTTTACTGGTTATTAGACACATGTAACAGACATTATCAATTATACAAAGAAAACAAAATATTGATTGTGAAATGATACTGGATATTTATTGTATCAAATTAGTAACCAATAGTATAGTATATAGTTGTCAGTATGATTATACACAATATAAAATGACAGAACAAAGCGAGATTTGATCATCTCTCACAACATGTCTGCTTTAACAAAGTTGCTTCCCTTTAGTTGGATTCCATGGCAATCATGATCTAGCACAAGGGTCTCAAACTCATTTCATTTCAGGGGCCACATGAACCAAAATTTTACATCAAGTGGGCCGGAGACATACAAAAATTCTAAAATCAAAGCCAAACGTCCTTGAACTTTACTGAATTCTAAAAACAAAGCCAAACATCCTTGTCACAGAGAGAGAGAGAGAGACAGAGAGAGAGAGAGATGGGGTTTAAGTCTACTCCACACAAACTAGGTAATTTCGGAACTAACATATGGTTCAGTTTTATTTCAATAATTCGCTTGCACATAGGGGTCTTTAGCAGTGGGAGGAAACCGGAGGACCTGGAGAATACCTACGAGGTTGGACAGGCGACCCTACTCCTTGTCACGTACAACCGGGGAATTGAAACCACGCATTTTATTAGACAAATTTAATCAAATGTGAAATGTTTTAGAGAAGAAAAAATAAGAGTTAAGAACAATCTGTTTTTTAAGTGAAAAATAAACACTGATGTTTTACTGTTAAACCCGGATACAAACTAAACCTACTTTAGTTCCTCTTATCAGATAAAACTATAAGGCTTAAATACAGTATTACAAGAAGACCTTTTTTTTCAAATATCATGTAATTGATAAATAGATATTGAATAAGATAGAGGTCATAATAATTATGTTTCCTTGTAAAATGAAAGGTATGTTCATACACATCCACAGATGGTGTAGACAGCATAAAAAAAGTAAAATGGCAATATGCATGTAAATAACCTTTCACTTAAAAAAAAAAACCAGTTTGTAATCTTGTAAATAATCAACAAAATATACTTACTTTTCCGCAGTTGATGAATTCCACAGCTGTTTCACGGAAAAAAAAATAAATGAAGCCTTCTATTTCGTATGTTGAGATAAAGTTAGGCTCTGTAATAGTGAAATAAACAGGTGGTTTATTTTTGCCTAGGGTGTCTGGATAATAGACATGCAGATATATAACAAAGCATCAAGAATGCTAAAAACATGAAGACAAACAATTTTAAATTCATATCTGGTCTCAAAAATTTGATTCCCTTTATAAACAAATGATCTATATATATGTGTCTGTCTAACTAGGTTTTCTAAATTTAATTTCAAGTACCGGTACCACTGTAATATATTAAGTCATTTTAGTACATTCATGTACCCATTAAATATTGCCTACAGTTAGTTATTTGATATGAAACTTGAATGTGTGTCACAGGAAATACATTCGCTACACTGTTTTACATTTTAATTATCAAGATTTTTCACATGATGTAAGTAAAGTGGGTCAATTTAGACTGAGGAAGTTGTATATTATAATTTTTTAAAATGTGGGCAGAGTGGTTTGCATTTTGTAAGAACTGTGACTACACAGGCTTCTGTAAACATTTTATCAGTGTCTATTTTCACAATTCCTGTAAAGCTACATTAATGCATTTTATAAAAGGACATTTCATGTCCATTTTGTTTGTTTAAAAATACTACAAAATGATTTTGTGTCACATTTTTTCTTAGCAGAATAGGTTGAAATGCTGACCTATGCCAGAATTTCTTTTTTTTGTCCCATCTGAATCCCTACATGCCTTTTGAAAATATTTTCATGCCACACAATATTGAAGCATTTCTGAAAGAAATCAGTGTCCTTGCCATTATGTTCAGAAAATGGCATACTAAAATTCAAAAGCAGTCATGGTTTACCAAGTCATTGAAACAAAAGGAAATTTATAACAAAGATAATCAAAGTAATCATTAAAGGCAAACTAATCACATGAGTCGCCAAAATAATTGCTAAAATTAACTAGAACTTCCATTAACAAAATACCGAAATATTAAATCAACTGGTTTTTTAGGTAAACCAAACTTATGGAATTGAAACTAATAAATTTATTTTCGTATTATATGAAAACATTTTTGTACTATCAAAACAATATTTAGTAATAAACAGGGGATTATAGAATCTATTCTTGTCAGATGAACTTTAAAACATCTGTTATAAGGTAAAGCAGAGTGTCTTTGACAGGTCTTTATTAAAATCATTTTTGATGATACAGAAGTATATTCAGTGCGGGATTGGTGTTATTTATGGATAGATCTCAATATAATTCAACACATAGCAGTCTTTTTTTCACTTTCTATCCATATGTTTTCCTTTAGATAGTACCGGTAATTAACTTAGATGAGAAAGGAAGGGGGTCTCTAACTGATCCATGAGAAAATTTTCAACATATCTGGATTAAATAAAATTGAATATCATTCATGTGCAGAACCTACTAGTTAAAATGATCATCATAAATTAAATTATTTAATATGCTTGAAAAAAAATCAGATGATGACGCTGTGAATTTCTAAATAAGGTAACACTGGTAACTTTGACATATCTGTATGGGTATTGGTACTAACAAATAAAAATAGTAGAGCTTTATCAAAATGTCTTTGGGGGTATATATTTTAATAATTATATTGTAGATCATTTAGTTTCTCTTGCCAAGGTGGATTTTACAAAAATGGGCAGAATATTTCAGCTAGTGAAAATTAAATTATCATTATGCTGATTGGAATAGAATTTGGTTTTACCATAAAAAACAAGCGGTTGCCATTCAAGATACGCTCACATTTTGCAAGAGATGCACAAAGCACAAGCTAAAAAAAGAAGTTACAGTCTGATATGCGTGAATATATACAGGGACCTAGATCTTTGAAATATAAACATTTAAGTTTCATCAAAATTGGATCAAAATTGATATACCATATTTTTACACCACAAGTTAAAAACACGATTTTTCAAACAATCAGGGGCCATTATTTAGGAAGATATGATCCTATTTATGCAAATATCAAAAGGAACCTAGTTCTTTGGGTTATAAACATGCATTCCAAGTTCATCAAAATCAGATGAAAATTGTGACCTCTAAAGTGTCCACAAGCTAAAAACATGATTTTTCTTACAATCAGGGGCCATAATCCATGAATTATGGTCCGATACATGCCAATATTGAAAGGATCTGAGATCTTTGAGAGATAGACCTATATTTCAAGTTCTGTCAAAATTGGATAAAAATAGTGACTTGTAGAGTGTCCACAAACAAATTGTGGATGGATGGATGGACAGGGGCAATGGCATAATAGGTCCATAGGTCTACATGAAAATGTGGGCATATAAAAATTCATGGGCTATAGTTATGACACATCTGGGAGATAAACACTTTCTATTTGAAATCTTGACGTTGTTAGTTGTGGAATAGTTAGTCGAGGGAATAACTCCTTACCATTCAGCCATTTTGAGTTGGATCTAACTGTACGTAAATGTTTTGATGGTCCTAGATTTCTACTGATTGATGGATCAGTTGCTGCGAAGTCAACTACAGTTGCTGTATATAGATCTCCATTTTTAGTTATTAAAGCTGTCGCATTATGGTATGGATTAAATGGGCTTTTGGCGCGACCATCAATAGATTGATTTACTTCTGACAAATTGTCTGCCTAAAAAAGAAATCCATTGAAATGTGTATATAGTGTACTTTACCTTAAAAAAGTATTTGCTCTAAGTGATTAAGTAATTCTCTTACACCTTTTAAGTAGCAATATAAGAAAGTAATTACATGCAATATATTTTAACCTGTAATAAGTAGCAGGTGTCTTTACATCATCTGTATATATTTATCAATAAGGTGCGAACTACCATCATCATAAACATCACAGAAAAATAAATATAGGTTGTCAGGCATAACATGTGTATTAATCATCAAAACAAATCTGTGCTTAGTCAGAATAATCTGTTTTTAAAAACCTAATCTGGAAGTATTCACCACAAATATAGACAAAACAAAAAAATCTCTGACAGCTTAAAAAAGATAAAATTACACCATTCTTGACAACATACCAGGCAATCACTAATATCTAACATTTATTAGACATTTATTACATTCTGATTTAATATTTTTGGTTGACTACTCTATATGAAGATCTAACTACTTTCTTGTCAGTTTTGTGTTCTCTTAGAAATTTGGCTATGGCTACTGTGATTGGTTCACACCAATAACAAAATTGGCTAGATAAGTGTCCACTGAACGTTGTTATGTACCGTATGGTTTTCCATTATTAAGATAATAAGCAGAGAGCAATAAAAGAACAGTCTGATTTTAAAGCCTTGATGTATCATTGAGCACTACAGGAATCCCTTGCAAACTACAATATTGTGAAAGTTTAATTTCTAATAGAAATATTAGTCCAAAAATAGTTCAATTCCATTCCGTATCACAAATCAATTGGATAAATTAAAATTTTAGTGAAAATTATCAAGCCTTTAATAAGACTGATTGAGAGAATTTGTTCAATCTATATGCCTATGGCAAATAGCATAAGGAAATATAATGTCTATATGAAACAAGTGTTAAGATATATCTGAATCAAGATTTCTTACCAGTCTCCACTGACATAATGGATCGAAGGCATTGGTACCACAAGTAAACACCATGTCTTCATGTAGTAAAAGAACTCTTACAAAATTATGACAATTATCCTGAAAAACAGAGAAATCCAGTCAGATAGGTTATGTATGATAATACACATACTTTTGTTTAGTTTAACCATCGAAGGAGATATTCAATGGCAGTTCTTCAAATGTCCCAAAAAATAAATACATTTTTTCAATGAAAAGCATCTATATACTATGTAATCTTTCATTTCACTTGCTGGTTCTCCAAAATCTTACCATTTAATACAAAATATATCATACCTTAGCTTGTCCTTTAAACATACAGGCTTTTGGATCACTTGGCATCCATCTGGCCATTTCAATCTGTGATATATCATCAAGAGAAAGTCGGAACAGTGAATCCCTAAAAAGGAAAAGAAAAACACCATTGATCATCACAAATAGTATCCATAAATCAGATCATTATATCTACTGATTAAGATAGTTTGCTTTTTGTTTGAGAAGCCCACAAAAATTGTCACACATTTATCAATTTGTAGGTAATGAAAGCATTTACAACTGATCAAGAATAGCAACTCATTAAGTAATTATCAGAAATAATTTCTATATTGCTGAAGCAGTGGCCCGAGAAATGGTTGGATTAACATTGGATTTTTGACCGAGTGTGTCTATTTTTATCGTCCAGTCAAATCTCATTGTTGGAAGTTGCTGATATATTGAATTTATTTAAACAAAACATGTCACATGATAGTCCATCTCTTTCATTTGGGGTCTTCTAAAGCTTCAGACAGTTGATTAAATGTATTACAATCAGATGATAAGTTTAGCAGTTTGAGTTATTGGAAATCAATTTTCCGTCTCATGAACATAAATGCTGTGTATAATTTTAATGTCAATCGGAGGATAACTTTAGCCTCTAGAAAATCCACAGGCAACAGACAGACAGGGGTTGCAAAAATACTGTATGACCCCATTTCAATGTGTGCATATAAAATGGTAGCGTGGGGGTGCCCAATTAGTGTAATGTGCGCAGTTTAGATCATTATGTCTGTCACTGAGTCAAGTGTCATGGTATCAATCCCAGGAATGTATGTGACAAGGAAAATAATCGTCCTCTAATTTCTTCCCACTTCTAACAACCCATATGTGCAAGCAAATTCTTGAAATAAAGATATACCAAATGCTATTCCCAAAATAACCTAGTTTGTGTTGTGTGGACAATAAACCCCCTATCTCTCTTTCAATGATTAAATTAGAAAAGAAATATTTTTTCATTCTTCCAACTTACCGTGCACCAAGTAGAAGTTGATTGCGTTCATCATCTATTGTCAACTGTACATAGCCTTCAATATCATTATGTTGGAATACACTGACTTGGGACATGAGATCTGAAAAAATTAAATTAACAATTGTAATTTTAGGAAAAATGAACAGAAACGTCTTGATTGTGAAATTAATAATAGAGCCATTTAAAGCTGAAGATTGAAATATTATAAATATCAAAGCCCTCTATAAGCAATAACCCTATGTACTCTATGAAAATGGAGTGTTTTCACCCTTGAACTGTTCAACAAAATTGTCAATAGTGTAAACCAGTTAAACCATAATGAGACCAGACAGAAACTGGCCTATCCAATAGAAGTGGTCTTGATCCGGTTAAAAAGTGTGATGGTGTAAATGGGAACTGAGTCAAGCCCAATTATTTCAGTAATTTATTTATTGATATTTTAGTTAGGGGAGGATATTCAAACCCATTTCAGACAAGACAACTGATTTTTAATGAAATTAACAATCTAGAATAAAATTATTACATAATGTGAAACTCATCCCACAAAATCATCCTTAAGAACGTCACAAATAAAGTAAACCTTCAATATACAAGACAATTATATAAATAGATAAACTTATACAGTGTACATGAGATATGACATGAAGTGTGTGGCAGAAAGAAACATATGTTTTCTTTGAATAATATAGATGTATAAACCTAAAATGAGGCATGGAGTGCATGTAAGCCTCGAGATCTTGGATTCATATGTGTTAACCAAAATTATACAAATAAACAAAACTAGGAGCATTTAATAAACTGCTCAAACATGCTGTGCACTTAAATAAACTACAAGATATACTTCAGGGATAAATCTTCAAAAATACTTTTGTTTTATTAAAGATGCATTATGTAAGAGCTAAATCTACCTTTATTTTGGCTTCCTATATTATGTTATATAAACTACTATCTAGACATTTATTCGCATTTCAAGCCTATAATCAACTCTCTAGCTAGACCTTCTGGTGACCAAGATTTAAATGGATTAGATCACCTGTGAGATCTAAAATTGTAACAATAAATTGGATAATCAAGACAATCTATGCTATATCTTCAAATACTCTTAACTTTTCTCAGAATAAAGTAATTTAAATGACATTTTCAATATATTCATTTTTAAGTATTATAGCAAGAATGACCAGCTCTTTATCTAAATCTTACATAATTCATATTTAATAAGCATACAGTCTTTAATTGATTCAAGATGATTGTAAGCTGGGCAAGTAGAAATTTGCCTGAAAGTGAAATAGTTTGAAACACTTCAGTAGTTTATCAAAAATATGAGCAACATTATTATCCCCATACTTCTATGCTGTTTATGTTTATGTCTGTTTATGTTATAAAATAAAGATAGATTGCCAGACAACGAGACATAAACCCACAGCAGCTTAATCATTTGAGCGGTCTACATGGGTTATCGCATATTTATTCTTTTGTAGATAATTGGGAGCATCTATTTACAGGACAATTTCATAGGCCTACTGATCAGATTATAACTTTTGTCATTTGAGAGTTCACATCAAGGTTCTACAAACTGAAACAAGGGCCTTAACTCTGGAAGTAATTTACAGAAATTGCTGAAATGCATATAAATTAATTGCTGAAATTCAATCGACGTCTTCGTTTCACTAAATTTAAATAATGCATATAAATTTCATATAGATCAGATGATAACTTTCATCATTCGACCGTTCACAACGAAACAAGAGCCATAACTCTAAAAGTAATTATTTGAAATTGCTGAAATTCAATAGGCTTCTTCGGTTGACTAATCTAAATAATGCATATAAATTACATACAGATCGGATGATAGCTTTTGTCGTTAGAGTGTTCACAAGGTTCAACAGAGTGAAACAAAGGCCATAACTCCAGAAGAAATTAACGGAAATTATTGAAATTAGATAAGCGTCTTCATCTCACTGATGTAAACAAAATATATCAATGTCAAAACAATCAGATGATAAATGTAGTCTGTAGAGTGTTCACAAGAAATTGTGGACGACTTAGGCAATGGGGGCCATGGCAATATACGACCACATTTCCATGTGGGCATATAAAAAGTGGTAGATTATATGGTAAAAATAGTCTTAATTCCAAATTATTACCCAGTACAGGTGGACATAGTTTAAAAAACAACTTAAGTAAAGCTAGCTTAATTTTGTCATTTGGACGCAAACCTGGGCTAATTAAACTAGTTTAAATTCACCTGCTCCAAGATAGCTTTAAAATTCAAGCTAGATTAACTTAACGTTTTAACAGTTTGACTCAAAACTGCCAGACAGCATATCTGCCTTCTTGCATGCACTTTTCATCACCTTCTGGGGTAAATGATGGCCTCCTGTAGGATATGTGCAAGCATAATTAATTACATCAACTGATCATGGGTCAGAATAACTAAAATTATGTGTGAATGGTACACTTTCCTAATTAAAAAGTGCCAGGAATATTAAGCAAACCCACTTTCAATAGAATATATGTGCCATCAAATTTGTTATGACAACCAAGCCTATGGTTGCGAATGCGGACCTGCTGGTGCAATGCATAATCACATAAATTAAAGTCTGTTGGGTTTTTTTTTCAAAAAACACTGGCAAAGATTTAAGTAAGCCCTTTGACATCAAGCAACAGGTAGCCTACTACATGTAATACAGATAACCAACTTGGTATATATATATATATATCATTTCTATGAGTTTGTACTTAGTTACCTATCAGACATGTAGGCTATACTTCTAGAATGGGTCAGTGCTTGTAATATCGCTCCCTATGGGAATACTAAATTACATACATGTTTGTCTACTTGGTACTTTAACCTCTAAATATTTACTTTACAAAAAAATCAAAGTTCTTTCTGGATTTAACTATTTCCAGGTACACTTTTGAATGATTCTAAGTTTATTTTATAGTTTTAGGTATATATTTATTCTATGTAACATCGGTTATAAAGTTCGTAACATTGACACATCTATAAATCACCAATTAATCATATCTTAAAATTCAGTTTCAACTTTGAAAGTCTCCATTTCATCCCGTTAGTAGTAATTTCACCCATCAAATAATTAACTAAGCCTTGAATTATTTTCTAATAATCCTCAATATACTGAAACTCAATTATAGCATTTATTTCAGACATAAATTGCTTGGGAAACCCTTTACAACCTGAAAGTTATGTTGTCAGAAGTTGGTCAAATAAATGTACTATCTCTTCATTAAGACTAGTTGATTGTGCTATATATTTTGGTCAATGTTCAGAATTTCTCCTAATCAGTACCGGTAAGTGTTTCTGCTAGATCAATAGCATCTACTTAGCTCTGATAAGCCCAAGAATTAACAATTACTTTTTGTTTTGTTCAATGATAATAGAGAAAACTTTATTTTCCAAACCTTTAGCCACCTGGACATTTTATAAGACATGTGATCTACATATTCACAGGAATCAAAGCATAATTTAAATATAGAGTATGTAGAACACAATTTAAAATGGAAGATGGATATAATTTGAGTAAGACATGTAAAAAGATATCATGGACATCTTAAGACAAAAACTATTCCTTGCCCATAAAGCAGCATTAGTTTTGATTAAAAATCAGTTTTAAATTTCCATACATACAATACAAGTAGTTATAGGTAGTCTTGATGGGATGGGTTAGTTACAGTTTTATCATCCTATCTGTACTTTTTGCATAAACAGATTCTTTCACAGAAACTGTGTAAATATCAAAATATTTTGCATTTTGTGAAAATCCTATCAGCTCATATATCTCAAAATTAACTTCTTTTTACATTAAAAGATTTTTGGCACACCCAGACCCATATATCTACCTCTTTAAAGTATATAATAACTAAACTGAAAGCCATAAAAATCGACAATACAGAGTTTAATTACTCGGCTCTATTCAAAGCAAAATTTTTTCAATCTTTTCACTTTTAGTAATTTTTGCTGTTTGACATAAACTTATTAAGGTAATAGAGGGTACATCAATTGCTTCCAAAGATATTCCAAAATTATATAATTAAGATCTTAAATATATATATCACAGGCCTGAATTTCCGTTTTGATATTACTGTTTCAGTATTTCTTTGATATAGCAAAACTGTTGAAAGGATCTATCATTAAGTACCAACTTTTGGTATGTTATATTGGTTGCTGTTAAATTGTATTAGCATGGTTTGCATACGACAAAATTCTTCTGAGTGGGGGGCATAAATACCATCTATAAAAATCTTCATCCTTATAGCAATGTCTGTCTTTGTGTACATCTCCATTTGTTCAAAGTTTTACCGTAGAGTCAATGAACATGTCTATTTTTACCTTTCTGTGCACATGTACAGGATATTGTCCAATTTTTGGACAAATTTTTTCATCAACCATATCTTTGTATTTTGTTTTTCTACCCTTTTGAAACCTGAAATGTTTGTGTGTCCTTATGAACAACTTACTGTGGTCTGGGTGTAACCTTATATATAAATACTTGTAACATGTAATCTTAATATTACTTTAGTGTCAAGCTGCAGCACATTCTATAATTACTCTTGCATTGTGATGCTTTCCACATTTCTTAAGATGGCTCGCTGTGATATACATGCAAGTTTTTAGAACATGTTAAATACAGTTCAGACCTTAGAAATAATTAAGCGTGATAAGGCAGAGCTTACCACACAGCAATAGGAGACGACATGTACAATTTGAACCACACACAATAAAAAACATCATAGATGGCAGATAAAAATAAAAAAATATACAAGTAGACAAGGGCAATAGGATTTATCTTGTCGACTGAGTGAATCTTTCATATAGTTTCCAAAGAATTAAAAAAAAAACTGCACATCATAGAAATCAGTAGTACAATCATGTCTAGAAATATTTTCAGGTGTAATTATATTGAACAGGTAAAATAAACATGGAAAACGTGTAAAAAGTAGTTTAAAATATACATGTAGTCATGTTGATAAGCAAATAAACTCAGAAAGTCACGTTCCTGGAGTTATCCCTTTATCATAATCTTTTCTTCAGAATATTTATATATACAAGAAAATATGAAAAATGTCAACTGCATGAGGAATGCATGTTTTTAAAAGTAACTATATAATGTATTCAGAAAGTTCATTTCTTACACAGTGTATTCTGACTTTAATATTTGTGGAATGTGAATTCAGGGTAACCTCTTTAGATCTTGTCAAATAAAATTAAATATGTAAATTTAATGTGAAAACCCAAATTTTATTCATGGTCATTATTCCCATTGCTTTGCATGCCAGCCATATTTTTTTTTCTCTTCCTAAAAACATCCAGTATTGATGTTGAACTTGTTTTCTAAGAACTTTTAAGTGTAGTTTGTCAGATTCAGGCAAACTTTTTGCCAATATACATGTCAGGTTTTGTTTTGGCGCTTTCACTATTGCACGGAACCAGATTCAGAAGCAAATAATCTCTTTACAATACATACCATTATAAGAAATTCTCCTGAAGTCACTTGGGTCATGGCATAATTCTTTGTCACAAAATACAGCACACAAACATCCACAAATAATAACAAGTAGAATATTTGCTGCTGTTCCACTCATTCTCCACATTAAGTTATAACCACCAGCATATCTCTAATACCACCTCCATTCACACATCTACATACTGTACACACTCCTCGGACAAACCTGGAAAAAATAAACTGAATATTCATTTATATTGAAAAAAACAAACAAAAGAGATTATTCATTCATTGTAATGATGTTATCAAAGAATGAAATAAGTTCATTTTGATTTGCAGGAGTGACAAATGTCATTCTTAAGGTAGGATGTCCTTTTCTTTCTGGTAATAATTCACAAAATTGAGATATTTGTGTCAAAAGTTGTTCTTCACATTTGGGGTTCACTTTGGTGAAATTAAACAGCCACCCAGCAAATATGGAAAACCAGAACTATGTGTTTCAAAATAATGACATAAAATTTGAAAGGATTTAATATTGTCATTGTCTAAGCCATTAATTACAGTGTGTTTTCATTTTCAAATCTACTTAGACCTTTGACAACACCACATTAATTGGAAGTCGCCATAGGTCAACTTTACAAGTAGATATGACATGTCTTGCTTAAATGTCACTTGAAATACCATATGTTTTTTGCATGTAATTCTTTATGGCTATCAAACTGTTACAAAGAACCAATCTAGCAAGAGTTGTTTTCCATATAAATAAATGAGTGTAAACATTTATGGGAAATTTTATCCTGTAAACCCCATCCACACAACCCCTTGATGTTTTACAGGGTTCAAATCTGGCTGTAATAGAACTAGAGAAAATATGATACTGTGTGCCCAGAGGTCGCCTAATAATTTCATGATCCAGTTTCCATCCTGAACCAAATTTTCATAAACTAAATGATTTACAACAATTTAAAATACTGTTGATGAATAAAAATACAGAAATTTTAAAATGTTTAGGAGCTTTTGTATACAATTTGTTTATGTCTTTGTAAAGCTGTGTATCTTTGTATAATTATGTCAATGTATGTATCCTTTGTTTGTTTCATGTATATTTCTATTATGTTTATTTGTATATGCACATAGCCTTGTAAGGTTTTTATGCAATAAAGTTTCTTCTTCTTCTTCTAACTACCCAATCCATTCTTAATATGCTCAAACTTTGCATGTCAGTATAAGTGAATTGTGATGACCTTATGCTCATTGATAATAATAAAAAAAATGAGCTGAACACTGCTCATATAATTTGTTATGGGTTTGAATTTAGTCCGAAAAAAAAAATAAGAATACTATAACCTTTCTTTACGGGGCCGAAGCTTCATTTTTGATATTACAATAAATATCCACCATTTGGTTCAAAAAATACAATTAATAGAAAAAACATATTGATGTTTAGTATCAATATTACTTTCAGAGGACATATTTCATTTTAAAATAATGTATTCACGAAAACCATATTGAGCAGAAGATCAATTTATCTCACAAAGTCTGTAACCCTACACCTTCATCTGATATTTTACTTATATCCTAGTCTCAAGCCAAAGGTTTCTATTGTTAGGTGATCATATGTCTGCCTCAATTAACTTAGCTACCTACATACTCTTATAAAGTTTCCACCTTTTCAGACCTAGGTATAAACTTTTCGTTACACTATTGTATATTTGTTGATGACCTCTAATCTTATGAGTTCATCTCGGCCTGCTGTTCTCAGTTTTTCTTGTGAAGCTTATAGGGTATTGGGTATCAAACTTTCATAGCTACCAGGTATCACTGACAGAGCATTTTTTTGATAGACATTTGCAAAATATTTGTTGGTTGAATTTATTTTTGTGTCTTAAACTAAAGAAATCTGATAATATTTGCTGGTCAGATAGTGAGGTACATCCACAGCAAACAACTTGACTTTGATGTAAATTTTGATTTTCCTATATGAACCTTATTCTGGGTAAACTTAAAAACTTCTCATTCATATTCTACAGAACTTTGATATCCATGAACTGACGAAATATTTCTTTTTAACAAATCAGGTTAGGCATCTGGAATCTCCATGTGTGATGCCTCTCAAATCTCCAGTAAATAATTTCTGTTTTTGGACTATGTGCTTGTAAAGTTTATTGAGATTTAGGAAAAGATTCAAAATCCTCCAATCCTGTGTTAACTGGATTAAGCTCCCAAAACAAAACCTAGCTCTTCTAAATGAAGCCAGAACCTATGCCTGATATATTATAAACATGTTCAATTCAAACAATTCAGTGTGTGGTGTTTTATATGAAAAATGAATGAAAAAAAGTTCTCTACTGAAAGTATTATTTATATGTATTTCCTTACAGTAACAGCAAATTTCGTCTAACCTTCTAAGCACTAACAATGGCAGGAGTATGAGTTCCTAAGAAGAAAGCCAGAACATCTCAATATAAGATAGGAGAGATCAGATCATTCTGACCATTGACCTTTTAAAACCAGAGCAATGGAACTCTGTAGATTGCAATCAAATGGGTGGACTTCATAAAGTATGTTGTCATAACATCCGCAGGCAAAAAGTATTGATAAGAACAGCTAGAAGGTATATTGCACGCAAGGCTTTACTTAATTCATTAACATCATAATTATATTCACATTGAAACCTATAAAAGTTACATTTCCAGGTTAGTTCACAGTAAGCTCAGCGATTCCAGCAAAGATCTCACTATTTCTTGGTCTAACAGACATAACTCCGTCTGTTGGAACTATGTTAAGTATGGTCTTAATAGAATCACCTCCAACTGATCTGATAAAATCATCACATTGCTAATTGTGAAATCAGATACACCATTTGTTTTCACATATCAATGGCATCATATTCTTTTATCTAAGATTAACCTTATTCCATATGCTTCTTTTTGTTGTGGCACATTTCTGGCAAATTAGTTTTTTCCTATTGAAGTGAGTCTGGAGATCCTGGCACCCGGCTGGCAATAGTGATTAGTTTACTTCGCTTTTCTGATAATATTTATGTGGGTGCCAGATCACAACCTAACAAAATCAAAACAAGCGTGGCACTAAAATCGGCTATGCTTCATGCAGTATAAAATATTATGACTTAATCGAATTTGTGTTGTGAAAGGCTACAACAGGTGTGTGTACGGATATAACTTAGTTGATCTGCTCATAGAACCTCTACAAATTCAAATTTAAAAATCCAAATTTAATATCCACATCTCCAACAAAAGTCAAAAACCACTCTAATACCATGTAACTACTCCATAAAAGTTGTAACATGACCGATTATCTAACACATTGCAGTGTCATAGATTGATAACTTTTTAAAGTTTTTAAATTATTTTCTTCTGCAGCAATGAGGTTATCTTGCACAACTGACAAAGACTGCTTGCAACTGAGATGACATTTTGTAAAATTGCCAATATTGTCCTTTGATTATATTTCAATTTCCAGGAATAATGGAATATTTATTCAGACACTATTCATTGTCTAATCATAGAATCTAACATAGTCAATCAAAATAAAACGTCTGATTTTGGCAAACATAATTAACTACTTGATTAATAAAATGTCTAGACAGCTCAGACTGGATCATACTAAATCCCTTTCTCAATTTCTTAAAATACAGCCACCATCCCTTAACATCCTCTTAAATGTCTATTTTTTCTTGTAAATTAATAAAGGGGGTCTAAGGATGAGATTTCTTGAGGCAAATGAATTGTTGTTTGAAAAAATCTTTAGTATATGTTATATATGGAGAGAAATATTAAATTTGAACCAAAGTCTGTGTTTCTTCATGGTATTAAGGGTATAGGATGGGGAGGGTACATTTATGAGATCTTTTCCTCAACCATTAATTTGGGGTTATTTTATGTAGTGCACTAATTGATCCAAATCTCACCTTAGATTATCAGTAAATGCAATGTAATACATGTGTGTTGTCTTTCAAAATTAATCATTGATGAGTATCAGTGATGAGTAGTCAGTAGTTAGTCTGTGTTTATAACTCTTCTCTGAATTGATAAACTAAATTGTTGACAAGGGTTTACTAATTTTTAGCCATGGATTGATAAAGATGAGCTTCCACCCAAGATTATCAGATAGTTCATTGTGAAACATGGGTTGTTACATTGTATTCTAATAAAGACTCTTAAAAAAAGTTCACAACTTGCTGTATCTGAGTTGTTTAATCTAGATGTTCAACATTTTTTACTACTCTTAGTGTCTTGAAAGCACTTATGCAATCAGGGATACTATTTCAAAATTTTCTACGTGGGACATTTTTAGTTTGGTTTAATAGTGGCCAGAATTAGGTCACCAGAAGACATTTATCAGCTTCTGGAAGCTTCCATTCCCTTCAGCTACAAATATTTTTATGTTATGTAGCATATCATGTTCTAAATACAATAAAATAGGTGCACCTCGCTATTTGTCACATTTAATTCTCGAACGGTATTCAAATTTATGTCTGTAATATTCCTACAAAATTATGTGTTTTCGTAATACGACAGAATGAAAGCATAGCGACCCATACCTACTTCAAATCCATGCCAGTTATAATCCTCCCAAATGACATCTTTGTTTATACAACAGGAAATGAAAGCAAAACATCTGTGATAAGAATAGTTCTTGATGTCGAAACATTGTTTTATAAAACGGTGTTTTAAAATTACATCAGTGTAGCATCGACAACCGTATTCAATGCAGGCATGATCGCCATGTTATTGCTATTTGCCCACACAACTCTTTTTTCCCGCCACAATGAACCATTCTAGTTATCTTTTGTTAAAAGCAATGCTTGCTCGTGACAAGAGCCATTTTAGCTGCAAAGTCATATTTTGTTAAGTGAAGAAAAATTAAACTAGTGTGCATTAGCTAATAGTTAACAGTGCATGCTTCTGGTGGATACATTTTATTTTTCGTATACATTGTACAGTGAATGGAAAATGATTAAACTATTGTGTTGATGGCAAATGGGTTGTCAGGTGGGAACACTTGGTCAATTCTTACAAACGGAAATGGTTACTGATGTTGTGAATAATTATTGAGCGTGTATATTTACAGGATTATCAAAAATTACTGTGTGTTCTAATTACTTAGATCTGAACTAGACTGTTAAAGGTTAGCTTACAAGTTTATTGACTAATCTTTGACTACTTTTAATCTCGTTGACCAACCTCAAGGGGATTAAATTGC